ATCTCTATCGAACTGCCTATCTCTAAAAGGTGGTTCACCAGTAGCAATCAAATACATAATGATACCAAAAGAGTATATGTCTGATTTCCTCGTGAATTTGCAGGTATGGAAGACTTCCGGTGCAATAAAGGGTAAAACGCCTTGAATGGTCGAATTTGACTCGCGTGAATTCACTGATCGTGAGAGACCAAGATCGCATGTACGTGGCTTATCATAATATAAAACTATGTTTCCGCCATGAAGATCACAATGCACTAATCCTGCACTATGAATAATATACAGAAATAATGCAATATGATCCAAACACTGTAATTTCATCTTCCACGTCAATTTGTTAATATTTTGATCCAAATAAGACAAAAGATTACCATTGTTGGCATATTCCATAACAATCATATACTCTTTTGTTTCTGGGTCTTGTGTCACTCCATAAATTTTAAGGAATGAATAAGTACCACTTGCACACTTTGAACTATTAAATATAAATAAATACCGAGTCAGATTAAATATTACTTTAATTAATACTACCAATTATTGCTTAACCCAGATAGAACAGATTCATAAGCGACAGAAATTAAAATAAGCTTCCAGATCAAGCTATCTTTCATAGTAATAGGTTTTAAAGGACCTCATAGAATATCATACCAAGCTCCCTAATGCAATCACACATTAGAGAATCATCAGGCCTCTTTAAATTTCGTCCTCTTGTTTACCCTCCGTCATCTACATATGCCCTTTTCCTTATTCTCAATGAGTCGACCCATAATAATAGCCCTTTCGGCATAGCTAAGGTGAGATTTTGTCATTCGCCGAATTGCGCGAGACTCGAACAAGATATACTTGCAATGACTCAGCTGAAAACAACCGACGGTAGAGCTGACGTCTTGAAAAGAAACCACGCGTTAATAAGCAAACTTTTACTATTGGAATCGACGTACCGCACGTGATAATGACAATTCGACCCAAAAAATTTTTGAATATCGTGTAACCGTCTCAACAATAAAAGGAAATGATAGACCTTGCAAAACCAGAAGCTCGTTATTTCCTCAAGTTATACAATGTCCGTCTATTCCGAAGAAGTGCTCATTTCAAAACTGAACAAACTTGCCGACACACAAGACTCGATATCATTACTGTCTCATTGTAAGACTGTTCGTGTCCTTTAACAACGAATCGCAGCTCGTATTCCTCTAAAGATGTACATCGTTCTTATGTCCAGGGCTGATCTACCACAGACGTCACGTCCATACAAGCGTAGATATATGGAATCGTGAACTACGCAAAGGTATTTTCGCGACGATCTCTCGGCACTTCTTTTTATGGAGTGTAACAATGACAGCTACGTATGTTGATTCCTTCACAGCCTCGGCTAAGCGCAAGCTACTTTTCATTTACCTTTGCAACGACGTCTGTCAGAACAGTCGTCGCAAAGGTCCAGAATTTATCGAGGCGTTTCGCAATGTGGTTCCCGAAGCAATTGAGCACGCGTTTCGTCGTGCAACTAGTGACATGCAGACAAGAATTAGGCGTGTGATCAATGTTTGGGAGGAGAGACAGGTATTTGAGAAGGAATTGATATATGAGATAAAAGGACGGCTATCTTGTAAGTATTGAATTAAGCGGCGAGAGGTGTATGAAGAATAGCGCATGGAACTGAATTTGGCTGGATCGATTTTTTCCTTTGTTCTGATTAAAGCACAGCGGCAAGCTCAAATACCCGATAATGCCCTATCAAGACATACGAACACTTCCCCTTCGTCTGCTGCTGTGTCAGAGAACGATAACTTTCATGAAAGTGTCAATATTTTATATTCTGATCTTCCTCCAAATTATGTAAGAAAAGTTTATATTTGCCAAATGTTACAGTATCGCATTTGATATATTTTGAATGTGTTATTGAAACGACCTTTATCAGACTGTTATGCTTAGAACTGCTCAAATGGTTACTAAATCGCGTGAAAATATATCTTCCAACGAGACGGATCTCTTGAAGAAATGGTCAGATGCCGTTGCGGAAGGTAATGACATAGTTGAATTTATTAGGTGAATCTAAATTGTGAAGATTTATTAAAGCAATCTTGATCTCAAAATAACAGAAAAAGCGGAATCCGACGTCTTTTCAAGACAAATCGATGACCTTTTTGCTCTTTTGCAGTCACAGCGAGACTCCGTTACGAAAAACATAAGCGGTCGTCGAGAATTAATCGGGTTACTTAATGGGTTGGTTAAGGATGAAGAAGCCAAATTGGAGCAGGACGAGAAAAGTCTCATTAAATGGCAAGATAATATTGAGCAACTCAAAGAATGGCAGGAACGGCTAAGAGGGGGAACAATAGTAACACAAAGCATAACTGGAAATGACGAGAGCTATAAAACTGGCATATCAGACGATAGTAGATATGATTATGAAGAAAGCAGAGTATAGGCAGTGGAGCACCGGCAAAAGTAATGGCAATCGATTTTTGCGACATGAGCACAGTTTGGAAGATAAGTACAAATAAAATTTTTTTTAGTGAAAGACGAACATTATGGCTATAAATTTTATTAATTTTTAATTTTCAGTATGACTCCTTTAGCTTTAATACATGCTTGAACTCGTCTTTTCATAATACTAATGCTGTCAGCTATGTCATCTTTTTCGAGACTATCCCATCCGCTTTAATTAAAAATTTTTTTTAAAAAAAAGGTCGATTTTTCTCACTTTTATGTAATTTTCAAATTATGCTTCAAAAATATTCCAGACATGCTAAGATCTAGACTGTAAGACGACCATGTCTTGACGAGATTCCAAACATCGTGTGATGTACATTTTTGGTCATTGTCCTAATGAAAAGTGACCTAACACTATAAATGGCGTGAATACGTGTAACCGGATTTGCCTTTAATGTCAACCATAAGCCTTAAAAGGATTCTTCGCGGGAATGAACAGGTTTTTCTTTTCGCGTCACCATGCACGGGACGTATTACAAATACAACATATTTGGCAAGTAATCGGTGCTCGGGAGAACTTTACATGGAAGAAGTGAAGTAAGCGAAACTTTGTTACGAGTAGCACGCTCATTAATGTTGAGGGAGGCGTATCAGATTATCTGTGCCTCAAGTACACGTACGTGTATTGCGGCTGACATGTTTTATATATTCTCCTGAAGCAGTTTTACTGCAACTCGTTTTTCAACAATTTTGGCTTTAGGAATCGGCAAGGAACGATTCTTCTGGGAATTCTGAAAAATGAGCTTGGCATTTTCACCTCGTAGCTGTTTAGCAACGTTCATAACTTCCAAAACCAGAGCACGCGATAACTCACAACTTAATAACATTAAGGAAAGTTTCATATTGGAGATCGTCTTGTCTATAAGATATGAACGCTTTTAACAAGGATTTACCACCGAATTAAATCTATACTGGCGATCTTATCGAGTGAAATAAATTCTAATCGTAACGAAGATAATCAGTGAAACGGGGCACTTCGTTAGACCGGGTATTTGTCTTTTCGAGAGGAAGAAATCGTTTTTGAGCTTTCTGAAAATGACACGATGAAGCTGATGATGGTAGTAACCCTAATAGTGAGTACTGTGAGGCATTGAAAGATTTAGAAAAACATAAATACGTTTCTAATTCAACAAGAGGGAGCCAGCAGTTATTTTAAAGCTGTTAATGGTTTTAAGTTTGGAGAAATTCATTCGCAAAATTCAATAAAACAAAGTAACATAACACATCTTTTAGTTAACAATTAGGGATATTGATAATTTTAGCTGGAGATTATAATTGTTTATATTTAATAGTTAAAATCTCTTTCCTATTAAGGAAACCCTCAGGGCTTGCCTATTTATGATAATTAATATTTATCACGTGATATACCACTCAATTGTAATAGAGGCGCATTTACGAGACAAATATTAAAATTCCCAGAAACAAATCTTATTTGAATGGCTGATGACAAGCTCAAGTCCTGGCTGCAGAAGCTTGATGAGGCGTGTCCCGACGACGAGAAAGAAGAGAGGCAGATTAAGGTCCCCAAACCCGATGATTATGAATCATGGCCGGCCTACATCCTCGACACAATTAGAATAAGTAAACTCAGACCCCGAATCTTGGACCCCTCAGATTTCGAACACTATACAGACTGGTTAGGTTGCGAGTTGCGAGCACAAAAGGATGAAAACTTGTTTCTTCGTAAAAATCTCTCCAGCGTAAAGTTCTTGGGACGACAAGTTTGGATGGAAAGACCATGGAGAAGGCATAGGAAAGCAAAGAGGAAGAAGACTGTTCAAATTTCTGCTTTCGAGCAAAGACAGACGGCGCGTCGACTAAAAACACTGAAAGAACTTGATTCTGGAACGTATAAACCGCGAGGCATTTGCCCTCCACAACGGTTTAAGTGGCGCCTAAGACAACACGCTGAATATATCAGAAAGGCGGACAAATATTTACGAAAGATGCTTCTTGGCGAAGACGAGCCTAAAGAACCTACAATAATCACCGAGTTGTTAGCCGCAGCTGGCATCCACGAAGAATTTATTCAAAACGATCAGTTCCCCACTCGCATGTTGCGTGTTGACCGTAAAACTCTGGAACCGATGTCTAGCAAGAACAATGTAAGCCAGGAAGAGGCTACTTCATTCCCAATTAGGGAAACCAAAGGGGTGAAACGAAGTCGATATCTTGTAGATGAAGGCAGTCCTATCACAAACGATAGGAAGAAATTAGCATGTCCATCACTTAGGACGAGAGAAACTACGCCGAGGCCGAAGCTTAGAAACATGCGAATGGTTAGCATCAGTTTCCATGAAGATGAAGTTCCAAACACGCTTGCACTATCGGCAGACGCAGCCGATGTCGACAATACTTCAAAGATAACAGAAAGACCAAGCAAAGACATAGTTACGGAACAAGAAAAACCGATAACATCCAAAGAGACGACTGTGAGCGTACCGCAGTCACCAGTTACACTTCCACCAACTAGTTCACTTCCACCAGCTAGTTCACTTCCACCAACTAGTTCACTTCCACCTGTGGCAGAAATTTCTAAAACGCCGGACCAAAATCCTGCAATACTTAAAAAGCCAAACATGATGGAAGAACCGAAAACACCCAAAGAGCCTGTAAATGTACTAACAAAGACGCCAATTACGAATACGGCTGAGTTAGCTGCAAAGGCTGACCAAAATACAGTAACTGACAAAACAATATCTGAAGAACCGGCTGCAACAGCGGTTGAAAACACAGCTACAAAAACTCCGGAAAAACCAGCTACAATAATAGCCGACGAACCGGAAGTAGCAACAATAACTGATACACCAACAACTGAAGAACCGACAATACCCAGAGAAACAACGCCTATAAGTGTACCACTGTCCCCAACTGATATGATGTTACAAAGCCCTGAAGTTGACACTTCGAACACCCCAGTCTATTTCGATATTCAGCAAAAGTCTCCGATGCAAGCATCTCCTCCATCAGGATTATTCTCATCCGTCTCACAATTCGGTGGTGCGCCGGGAGGTGGTAGCTTTTTCAAAAATACTGCAGCGCCCTCCTCTTTCCAATTTAGCGCCAGTAGTCTACCTGCATTTAATTTCGATTTTACGAACAGCGAATCCTCATCAGACAATACCGAATCCAAGTACCCAAAAAACAGCAATCGTGTTATTGCTTCTCCTTCACCTTTTAATGGATTTTCACAATCTTCTATGCCTCCTCAGGCGTTCGTGCCGCCTGCATCGACTTTTGACTTTAAACCGACATCATCTTCTTTTGACTTCAGTATGCCTTCGTTTGGCTTCCCACCAACCGATTTCATGAATCTGCCGAGTGCAAGCGGAAACATCTTCCAATTTTCCTCATTAACTAGCTCTACTAATAGCCAAATAACTAACAGACGTCGCATTGCTTCACGTAGGCGTGGGCGTCGTTGATATCATGCAAAGGAGCACATAATAAACCGTCGAAAAATAAAGCAAAGTGCTTAACTTTGGAATGTAGAATTTTGATAGAAGTCTATCCACAATTGCATCGTTGAAATTTATTCGGTTTGATATTGATATTCGCAGAAGGCATGTAATGACGAAAGCAGGAATTCTCAATAGACAACGATTCGTAGTGCCCACGTCGTTTCGGTGGGAGCAAGCGTATACGACAGTATATACACACATATATAACACATCAGCCTCACCTTTCGAGTCCATATTATAGACAATACCAATATTCACGACTTTGAATGGACTCTTAATAGAATATGGTAATGTCAATTGACTTCATATGACGCTTTCAGTCAACTTGATCGTGAACCTGAACAGAAGATCAATTACACATTGCAGGCCAGCTACAACTTGTATTCTTACCATTCAACGGACAGTATAATCTTCTTGCTTCTACTTGACATAATCCCATTGATATAGCTTCAAATTCTCCATTTCATTATGCCTAAATAATCTTGACATCCGTAACCTATAATTGCTGTATAAACACTGGGCGAAAGTGATTACTGTCGATACTGTAGCTGAAAAGTGCTGAAAGTGACCCGATATGATGTTTATTGGTGTGAGGTGAGATAGTTGGGAGGTGAGGTACAAGGCGATATTATTGCTGGCCCTTTGTGTTGTTTGATAGCTAAAGTTGAAGGGTGACAGGAGAGAGTGCGCATATCTTGTTGCCAATATACTGTTGCGTAACGTGATGAATAACAATTGACTGTGAAAATAAATCAACTAGAAAACATTAGGGTGTTGTAGATGTTGATCTATGGCTGACTTCGTAGATTATCATTCCAATAAACAAGACTGAGAATACTAGTAAGGTGAACGGGGACGTGCATAGGGATCATAGCGAGGTTGGGGGGGAGGTCGGCGGTCTCGTTCGTAGCCTCTGTCGTAGCCTCTATCGTAATTCCGATCATATGCTCGATCATATCCTCTATCATAGTACGATCGATCATAGTTTCGATCGTAATAAGGATCACGGGCATAATTCCTTGGTGGTCGATCGTAACGATCATAAGGCCTATATTCGTACCTAGGATCAAATCTATCCACCCGTCGCGGCTCTAGTGAGGAGAGAAGAAAAAGAAAATTTCAGCAAGTTAACAAGGGTATAATAAAAAAGCTGCCTGAGGTTTAACACTACATACCTCTACGCTTAGGTGGTCCATAATATCGTCCCGGAGTCGGAGTTCGGGCGCGTGAACGTCGAGCCTGTAAACGATTACAGAATAAATATATGAGCATATGTATAGAAAATTCAAATAGTATAACTGAATCAGGTTCAATGCCACCCAAGTATCGAATAGAGTATCAAACAGTCTTTTCTGTCCAGCCTGGTATAAACCATATATCGCTTTTCACAACTTACTTTCTCGACTGTAATAGGTCTTCCGTGTATTTCGGTACCACTAACAGCATTTCTTGCCGCATCAGCTTCATCTACGGAATCCATTGTCACGAAACCAAACCCACGCGAATCACGGGAATGCGGGTCATACATAATTTGAGCTTTAATAACCTAGAGCACAATATGTTGGTAGTTTCACATCAATAAATATCACAATTAATAACATATAAATAAAACATTGCAATGACTAACCTTGCCGTATTTTGAAAATACTTCTTCTAAATCCCGATCTGCAGTGCGTGCGGCCAAACCGGTTATAAATAAGTTATTCCCGGGATTCGAATCCTCTCGCTCCCGGCTGAAAAGCCACGTAGTTATGTTAGTTATACGTTCACACTCTAAAACTCATAAATAAACTTATTACCTCCGCTCAGGAGACCGAGATCGCCGATCAGATCTCGAGCGAGAGCGACTTAAGAGACTTCTATCATCACGACGGTCACTGTGTCTGTCGTCGAGTCTGTCATCGAGTCTGTCATCTGGACTCGCGTCGTCGTGGTTATCGTCGCGGTCATCGTCGTGGCGGTGACGATCGCGATGTCTATCGTCACGATCATCGTGGTGGAGTCTATCTTCGCTGTGCCTCGAGTCACGATGTCTGTCTTCGTGGCCTTGAGAATAGCGGTCAGAGCCGTTTAGGGCTAAACCAGTGTTAATAAACTGTCAACAGACGAGTAGTCGACAGAGAGAGTAAGAGGAGTTAGACAAACCGTAATCATCAGGATCTACAAAGACGCTGTCAGATTCACTCATTCTTGTAAGTTGTTAGTGGAAAAAGAGAAACAAAACAGTATCTGGTATTCTCAAGAGAGAATTTGTCAACAATGCGCGGTGATGATCCCGCCATATTTGGGTTACTATCTATACACGTGATTATCAATGGTGATAAAATTTAATAAGGTTAGACACGGGAGAATTCTCTTTCCGATTTTGTGCTCATCTTTCCTTAGTCCACCTCATCCTCAATTTAGTTGAAATGGACATCGCGGGGGTTTCACTCCGTGACGAAGACTCTTACCCAAATATTCCCGATATCGAGTTACCGAATCAGACCGAACACTTGTCTCGAATTGCAGTTGATGTAGGTGCCCTTCTTTCCAACCCAAACTTGCTTTTCTTTGTTTAACTTTCTTATTTCTATTACAGATTGGTGGATCTTTGATTAAAGTGGTATACTTTTCGCGTGAATCCATATCAACTTCCAAAGGCGGTGGACTGAAATTTGTAAAGTTTGAGACGGAAAATATTGATGAATCTATCGACTTTATTGCTAATTTGCTGACTACTAGTAGACAGCAAAAGTCCGTGATCAAAACTACTGGTGGAGGATCGCACAAATATCATGACGTCTTTGAGCAGAAACTTAAGAATGTGACTATCGAGAAGGAGGACGAGATGGACTGCCTTATTGCGGGTGGGTTTACACTTGAATTTCGAATCATGCTTTATTTGAGACGAATTTTGTTTGTATTTAATATAACACTAGGGTTGAATTTCCTGATTGCTGAAATTCCGTACGAGACGTTTACGTATACAAAGACAAATCAGATGTGTTTTGAAGAGAGGTCTAATACCAGGTTTCCATACATGGTATATATTTTGAAATATAGTTTTTTCGATCAGACCTTGCTTTAACATTTATATGTCATTTCTAAAAAGCTTGTCAACATTGGTTCTGGTGTAAGGTATGGATTGTCTTTCTGATGTCAAATCTTGCGACTGAGTCGTTGACCAGGATCATCTTACAGCATTCTAAAAGTATCAGCGCCAAATGAATTTGAGCGCATATCTGGAACCTCGGTATGGTTATAATCTATTCAGCTACCAGATTCCTAGTCCATGATTTCTTGCTGATGTTTATTTACGATGTATTGGTAACAGCTGGGTGGTGGCACTCTATGGGGCTTATTGTCTTTACTAACTGGCGCAAAATCATATGACGGTAAGCAAATTATTTATTTTTACCATTTGATGGATGATTGGATAACTTAAACAGTTAATTGTACCAATAAGAAATGTTGGAAATGTGCAAGGATGGGGATAATAAAAATGTGGTAAGTCCCTGATTGTTATCGTTTCCTCTTTATGATATCTTAATTGAACGACGTTTCACATGCAGGACATGCTGGTTGGAGATATTTACGGCACAGACTACAATAGGATTGGTCTTGACGCTACAATGATAGCTTCATCAGTTGGGAAAGCGTTTAAAAAGAATTCCCGAGAGAGTGTTAGCCTCAGCGACTTTAGACCAGAAGATATTTCTCGATCTTTACTATTGATGATCAGGTAATTTTGGCATTCTATGATGAATGTGTTCTTATAGACAAAATTAAATATCATTAAATTCGAATGATCATTCTTGACTTAGTAATAACATAGGTCAAATTGCATTTTTGAATGCGAAAGCACATAACCTAAACCGAATATATTTCGGAGGTTACTTCATAAGGGGTAGGTCAAACGTAAAATAATCATTATAGATGCTGTTAAATCCAACAATGTAATCTAACGACACCTATTTTCGATTCATAGGACACACTATTACAATGAGCACATTGTCAGTCGCATTGGATTTCTGGTCAAGTGGCACCATGAAAGCATTCTTCTTGCGACATGAAGGATACTTGGGAGCTCTTGGTGCGTTCCTCAAATCTGAGGAGATCAACTAAATTAAATTCACGTGTTGTCCTAAAATACTTTAACAATCTCGCGAATGCGAATAAGACAAAAAACTCAATACATTACAGAAAAAAGAGCATTCTTTCCAAGTTATGAGATTTAACGTGATCTTTGTAAATTTCGAATGGCAGCTTTAAGAGCGGGAAGCAGCATCCCAGCATTTTCCTTCCACCATTGCTTATTATAAGCCCTATGACGATCATATGCCTTGTCCAGAAATTCTCCATAAAACGCAGACATTTCGGAACTACTGGGCTTTTTACCGTTTCGAGCCAAGACTATTCATGAAAGACAATGTATGAGTTTTATTAATATGTCAGCGTGCATCAAATAATGGGATATCCACCTGCATTCTCAAAAGCCATCTTTGTACTCTTGAATAATTTATTGTTAGTTTCCCAAAAATCTTGATTGAACTTGTCTACCCGCTCTCTATGTAGTCGCCATGTACGTTCCTGGTATTGAATGATTACCTGTCAGAATATAATTGTACGTGTTGCTTTGCGCATAAGAAAGCCACAATCACCTCTGCTGTTTCGCTCGGCCTTGCGTAATATTTTACAGGGCGAAGATTTGATATCAAGTCGGGACTTCCTATATAGTCCTGGTGAACCGCATTTTCTATATATATAACCGAGACGACTCTAAGCAGAGTCGTGAAAGGCAGGATTAAATAGAGTTGAGGATGTCTAAAGCGTTACTCCACCTTTTTTGCTCCTTGTGGCAAAAATTCTCCTTAATAGAGTAGTGTCAATGCCAAAGTTTCGCGCCTTCATTTTAAAAAGGCTATATATGCCGGCGAGGGGGTTCATTGAAAATCTTAACATTTGTAATGGTCAGATTGACAAATCAGGCGACACAATCGGACACGTGAAATTGTTCGAGCAAACACAATATTATTAGTTTGATTGATGAATTTACAGCTTTGAATTGAATTTTGACCAATCTGGTGTCTCTTTTCTACTAAAGGCTTGTATACCATAGGCGGCTTCCTCAGATCGCATCATCTCTACAAACACCTTCTTTACATGATCTGTTTTCTCTAATTCAGAAGCGCCAGACCCTACAACAGAAACTAACTTCTTTATGGATGCCATCGCATTCGGCGCACTCGAAATTAGTTCGTTCACATATATTTTGACCTTTTCTTCTAATTGCCGATGATCATCGACCACGCAGGTAATGAAATTGCCCCTTAAGGCTTCTTCTGACGATACCTTTTCGCCAGTAAGCATATATTGATTGGCCTTAAATGTCCCAATCTCCGGAACAATGTACTGAGAAATGATAGCCGGAATCAAGCCTCGCTTAACTTCGGAAAGACGAAAGTATGACTGTCTGGTCATTATCCGTATATCCGTCGTAAACACAAGTCCAACACCTCCTCCAAGTGCTGGGCCGTTGATTTGAGCAATAACAGGCTTTTTGCTGGATTTGATAATTTCAAATAGGCGCATGCCTTTAAGAATCATGGCGTCGAGGTCTGTCGGTGATTGACCAGTTGATAGGTCAAGCCCTGTACAAAAGAACTTACCAGAGCCGGTTATGATGATGACACGTATTGACGTATCTACAGCTAGTTCTTGAAAGACACCAATCAGTTCATCAGTCATCGTACTTGTGAGGGCATTCCCGTTGAGGGTTATAAGAGCCACATTATTAAGTTTTGCGATTGATATCTCACTAGGCATTTTCAATAATAATGTTGAAATGTCATAAAACAAATGGTCGGTTTAGTGTTACTAAAAAGTTCATAGTTCACGTGTGAGCAAATAATTGGTAACTTATCAAAAAATCGCGTTCAAATAAAGTTTTACATAAAACCCGAAGCTTTTTTCTTTGCTAGAAACCAAAATCAACGTCAGGTTTATTTACATTTGTGGAATACCAGAATTCGTACTGGAACAAGTTAACGAACATACCACTTTCAACAATCTCCTCGGTCAAGGCTCTTTTACCCCTTCCGTTTTAGGAGCTCTTTCTTGCCAACATCAACGGCTATGAAGCCACCACCACAAAAACAAAAAGAAAAATTATTTCCCCAACTCTAACGCTACAATAATATAAAAAATAGTTATTTTTTATAATATGAGTTTATTCTTCTGTCGCCCACGAAAGGGTTTTGTTGTGACTTTGATGCACAGATGGAAGCTGCTCAGTTCTACCATGAAATGAAGGAGAAGCGGAGATGGCAGTATAAAGTTTTCTCATACCTTATACTCCAATTCTAAAAGACCAGTGGAGTCGACTCCTAAAAATTCAGAAAGCACACGAACATATGTCTCCCGTTCAACAATTGCAATGTACTATATCGAAAATTTTCAATATAGTAAAGTTCATAAGTGGCATAACTCTTCACTATTTGCGACTGGCAAATCTTATAGTAGTATAATAATAAATGACTCAAACGTTATTTCTACGACGAATCTAATGTTGCTGAATGATTTATATGAAATGTACTGGTACTAAGTTGTTTAACGTAGCAAGTGTCATACCGTTCAATTATGTAGTAACCTCACGGTTATAATTTATTAAATCCATTCAAAAAACGAAGACGTAACGCTGACTAAACGACTGCACTTTTCTTTGTAGCATCTCTGTTTCAGCTTCATGCTGTTAAACTCTAAAATTCTCATTATATCGAGTGAAAATCTTTTTGTATTAGAGGAATTCTTTACTATAGCGCGAAATTCACCGTATCGAGACTTTACTATATCGAGGTTAGACTGTATTTAAATTCAGCATCAGCTCCTACAATAACTAATGTAGCAAACAGCATAAGTTTAAAAGAGTAGGTTTTATTAATAAATTTTAGTATGGAAAATTGAATTACAAACGGGATTTTCATTGTACATAAATTAATTGGTTGTTATGTCAGTTCTACTTCAAGTTCGATTTCCCGCCTATTCGAAATGGAAAAATATAAATTTGAGACTCTTGCCGTATCCTTTCTTGCCGAATATGTGATAAGTGTTCAATTGAATAGAGCTGAAAAATTGAACGCTTTCAATTCAGCGTATGTTAACTATAAGCGTGTATATTGTTTAATTCAACTTTCTATTTAACGTAAGTTAACGTGTTTTCAGTTTATGGCGAGACCTGAAAGAATGTTTTACGGTCATAAAGGATGATTCTACTGTCAGGGCTGTGATCTTATCGGCTGCTGGAAAGCACTTTACGGCTGGACTTGACTGTAATGTAACAACATATGGGGCTTGTTGTGGAAATGAAAGAACGATTTATCTTGGTTAATGCGTTACTTTGTTTTACTAGTAAACGACTTTCCGACAGTAGATATGAAGGAAGACTATGATAGTGCGCGACAGGCACATCGTTTGCGATTGATTATAAAGGTAAGTTTGCAGATTCAAGTTGATTTTGCGAGAAATAATTTTGGACAGGAGAGAGAATTGGGGATACTGTGTATAGTACTGTTTATAGCACCTAATCACTTGGATTGTTAAAATCCTACACACGTCTTTATGTATTAGTCTATGCAAGAATCCATAACTGTTGCCGAGACTTGCGATAAGCCAATCATTACCGTGACCCACGGTGCATGTTTGGGTGCAGGGATCGATCTAATAACCGCCTGTGATATTCGATATTGTTCTCGAGATGCGTATTTCTGCGTCAAGGTATAATTCACATCCTTATTATGAGCCAAATTGTATAACTCGATACAAAATATTTGCAATTGAGCCAATTCACGTTCTAATTTACAAAATGGTTTATACATAGGAAGTTGATATAAGCATAGCAGCCGATCTTGGTGAGTTGATCATAACTTGCCGATTGCATGCATATATTCAGAGTTTACTCAACGGTTCACGCTCCAGGCACATTGCAGCGTCTTCCAAAAGCAACTGGTAATGACAGCGCTGTAAGAGAACTCTGTCTTACTGCTCGCAGGCAAGTTTACCGTAATGATCATACTTGACATTGTCGACGAATTCTTATTGTAACGCGTTGATTAGATTTGGACCAGAGGAAGCCGCGAGCATTGGACTTATAAGTAAAGTGCTAGATAGCAAAGAGGCTGCCATTGGTAAGCGGAGAATGGTTTCTTTTATTTCCTCGTAAATGAAATATTTTAACTAACATGTATATCTCTCTAACAGCCGAAGCAACCAAAACGGCGATTCTCATTGCATCAAAGTCACCTGTTGCGACGACGGGAACAAAGTAGATATCAACACTGTGAGACTCGTATAGCATATAGTAAAATACTAACTGATTGTTACTTTAGGCATCTGTTGAATTATTCACGTGATCACTCCGTTGCCGAAGGACTCGCCTATACATTAGCATGGAGTCAGGCCATGACGAATACTCGGGTAAGTTGAGTTTACGAATATGTTGACAATGGTGAGAAATAGGTAGTCAGTGATTTGGGTCGGGTTTGAGTTTTTGATATATATTTATGATTTGTTACCGCAACAGGATATCCCAGAAGCAATAGATGCAGTACTTGGCAAGAGAAAACCAACATTCAGCAAATTGTGATAGTTTTTTGTTTATTAGTTGAAAAAATATTAGCTATACAATCTATTACGCGACATGCATGTGTGCATTCGTTCGACATCCGACTAGAGTCCAAAATAAATATATATATACGTACTGTCTGATTTTTCATTTTCATACATATTCATACAAATTTTTATAAGCCTATTTTCCTCCTATTACCTTTTTTACTTACATAGTTTGCTCATACTCTGCTCATGCGGCCATACTCCAAAAGTGGGGCTAGCAACGCCACAACTATTTCCCATACGATTTCTTAAACCATTCATACTATTAGAATGCTTCAATTTTGTATTTGTATTACTCTTATTATCCGTATCACTTGTATTCCTATTTGAATTATTCTCACTCCCGCTAGCCATGCCAACGCTTCCGTTTATCGATGGATCGAAGGAGGCGCTCCGTCGGTGGGTATTCCGAGACGTGCGATGATGTCTCGGTGGAGGACACAAACTATTCCCCAGTATACCATCGAATCCAATCATGTTATTTGGTTGTTCGTGCGGACTAGACGGAGCCGAATGGATTTCAGGAGTGATCGTTGGTATATCATCCTCGTCAGGCATATTCAGATACCAACTGGGACGACCAGTGCGATTGTACATACGTCCTATTGAATTAGGTGGGTAGCTGGGCGATAGGGTCGGGGTTATTTCTAAGCGAGGTTGGATTTGAACATTCGTAGTATTTGAACCGGTGGAACTGGTGCTGTTGGAAGAGTCTGAACGGTGTAGCCATCGGCCGATCGTTTGAGCTATCCTGCGAGTGCTCTTCTTGGGTCTTAGTGTTGTCGTAGAAGGCGGCAGTGGGAGCGGTTCTGATGTAAAAGGCTGATCATTGTTTGATTGAGCTGGAGTATGTGGGTAATCTCCTTCATCGGGATTGGGTGTTGCAGGCCTCGAGTTATTTCTCGACCCTGCTCTTGAAGGCGAGCTAGAATAACTTGCATCATCTCCTTCAACTGGCGTGATGGGTCTAGATATGGCTTCAACTTCATTCGGAGCCAACACTGACTCGATACTCTTTATGACATCATCATATGTTGGGAGATTACCATCAATGCTTTCTGTACCAACGTTATCGCTTGGAATATCAGTAACGATCAGAGGAAACCCTAATTCGAGGTCTCTCTCCCTTCCATCCTCGAATGACATTATTATCTTAAGCTTATGCCTGACACATACCAAAGGCGATGTTATGGTAGGCTTTAGCCGCGTCTTACGAGTAACACCTCCAACGATACGAGCCGAATTATATCTCTCGAATGGAAGGTTGTAGGTCAGCGGGTTGTTCCAACAGTCTTCGAGATGAGAGACTGTAAGCGAAGTAGGTTTAATTGGATGAGACCGTTTGCGTTTGGTTCCACTTGAACCACTCAATTGAACATTCCCGATCAAGCGAGCTCCTTCTATTGCATATTCTTGAATATCTTCTTCGGTTGGACGTACACTATATTTCTCTGATTGCGTCAACGAGAAGGTGATCTTTTTTAGCATTCCTTCCTCACGGAGAGGCAATAGACGTACTCGGACCAACATGCTCTTTTCGTTTGCGCCCACGACGGTAGGCACATCCAACTCGTACTTGAGTATAGACTTTCGTTGACCTTGATAGACTTTTGTAGGCGGTGCTGGAAGTAGATCTCTGCTGCATGTTAGGTAATATCTGCCAAAATGTATGCTCTTCTCAGCTCGACCAACCTTGGCCAGAAGTGAAGTTGGTTGCACAATAGCAACTAGTGTGTACTTGATCATCCCGAAATTAGTAACGTAAGTTTGAGGAATGTGGCCAGGAATGTTGAATTCAAAGTCCAAGTCAGATACCCCTCTCGGAAGCACGGCTTTTTCGGTGAGCACTTTCTCCATTCTGAGTACATCAACGCTAGAATATTGGTTTTCCCAGTCGGAATAGTCTGATCTCCCTTTAAGTTTGATGACTACTGATTTGGCTTTTAATGTCTTGGAGAGGACGATTCTGACCTTTCCGGTCAACTTGTGAGTCACATCTCTGTTTGGTGCGCCATACATGGCGACTTTGCCGTTGTTGTCTGGGATAACGTCTACTGCGATAATGCTGTTCATTTTAGAAACAAGTAATAGTAGAAAATCGGATTTACGAGAAAAAAATTATTGATAATTGCAGTAAAGCGCGTTATATTAAATTATGTTGTTTTGTAAGATAAAAGAATAGAATAAGTTATGGCAATTGCTACGATAAACTCGAGTATGATTGCAATTCTCTCAATTCTCTCTATCACTTGCTCTATTATTATGCCTCACTCCAGAGCGGGCAGTCTACGCAGAATAGCGGTGTAATTACGGAGAAAGACAAAAGACTTTTGAAGCCAGAGAAGAGAGGCGAGACCCAAATCTGTCGAGGCTTAGTGTATATATATAGAGAGAGACGAATATGCTTATGTCCATTAAAGGTTTTTTATTTATTTTTAAAGGATCTTCGGATATGCAACGAACAAAGATCATAATTGATTTTGATTTGCTAAAATTGGTGATTCAGTGTTCCATAAGTGTGAGAGCTCCAAAATTATGATTGGCCCAAGTGGAATTCCGATTGTCGATTCTGACAGACAAAAGGATTGAATGAATTGTTTATCTGAAACTCGCCTGGAACAAAGTGAAGGGAAAAGCTTTTGTTCGCCTAATATGCACATTATTTTCTATTATTCCTTGTCGAGCTGTTACACCATGTTGATGAAGCTTCTATTTTTGGCGTTGTCGTTATAATGATTATGACATCGCAAATAAAGCAACGAGCGAACAATCATAGAGTAACATACAACTCGCGCAATTCAAAAGTGCCAACCAAAATCGCCAATGTTCAACAACTGCAATGTCATTGCTTTACTTTCCATATTTCCACTGTTCGCTTCTTGGTACAAAACCCGGTTTGTGCTTATTGAATACAGACGCCTGCATGCCTTTCTTTAATTAGGACATTAATGCTCGTTGGATGCTCGTTGTCTTGTCTCTGTCTTTCCTCTTGTGTTGTGATTTATCTTTGTTGAAACTCTTGGCGATCTTTCTGAATTGGTTATAGCATGTGGGGGGTTTTACTTTTAGGTTCGTTAAGGCTGGTTCCTAATTAGCGATTTTGTCCTTCCAGACTTTTATTATGGAAAATATTATGCACATCGAAAGTATTAGCACCGAATTGTGACGACGTTTAACTTTGTAAACAAATCAGAGTTAACGAGTGTTACATACTCGGATATCCTTCGGCTATGGATGTTTGAGGGGCATCAAGATAGTCCCGTGACTAGTTATGTATCATGTATGTTTAATAATAAATTGTCTACATTTCCTAACGAATAAGCGTACTAACTTTAAAAATTTAGATTCCTATATAATGAAACATGTGTCTTTATGTCCCAATTATGTCCTGTTGTTGTCTAGATTAACTGTGCCCGTGGCAATTAACATTTTCCGAGACGGCGGGCGGACTATACCACCAATTTCCTATTATACTATCACCACATTGTCGTTCGATTGTCATGTGACATTTGCGTCTCATGATAACGACAATCGGGTAAAACGTGTCATATTAACATGGTTTTACAAATTCAAAACCATTTTGGCATTTCCGCGTGCCATTTCTTTGGTTTTGCAAGCTATACGAGATAATGAATTATTGGGTTTAACACGCACGGCTTTTTTTTTATCAAGTTCGGCCCTTCCCACTAGTTTATTCAGTTGAAGCCTTGACAGATCCAAAGAATCAATGCAACCATTCTTGTTCCACGTTTTGGTGATGACGTTGCCGCAATTCCTGCTTTCAATTAATGCTCGTCATTTTCTTGCGGGTGGGTATATGAAAGTTTCAACGTACAAACGCAGAAGTTTTGATGACAAGGAAATTATCGAAATGATTATACACGTCAATTCCTTTATAATCACAGTCCAGCATCCTGTAGGCATTAGTTACTAATAATTACGTTCACCGTTTATCCGTATAACGAAAATTTAAAATAGAAACAAGTCTTTCAGTGCCAACGAACAGATAATGTTATGGCAATTTTATTGAATATACTGTATATCATGCAAACGGACTCGTGGAATTAGAAATGTAATTTAAATCGGTAGAAGTGACTGGTTAAAAATACCAATCGAATATGATGTAGATTTTAAGTTAATTACTATCACGACTATGTCAAGAGTGTTGCTTAATGCGATAGATATACCAGAGCCAAATATCAGTTAATGCATATTAATATACCAATCTTACACGAGAAGAGTCCGACAGTGATGATACGTTCAAAATTGAACTACTTGCTAATTATCCTGGACACATTGATAGCATGACTATAAAAAAAGTTGTTTAGGTAGAGAGCATAGTAACGTTATATATAGTTTTTATAAAGGATAACTTTATTATTTAAATCACTTTCTCTTAACACAAATGTGCATAACAAACTGGAATAACAATTTCCTGTACGGAATAATATAAGTATTCTGTCTATAATCAGATAATGTTCTGACAATGATGTGATTTTAAGTATTAGTATAGTCGCACTGTATTCACAAACGAATAGTAATATCAACATAGCATGACCTTTATAACAATAAAGGATTTCAATAAAAGAAGCCGACGTTGACAATTCACATTCGCGTGCCTTTATATTTTTTGAAAAGCAACGCAAACTGATAGCAACAGTTACTAATGCTTTTTGAATACGAATATTAATGCGTTTTTGATAAACAATTAATTGCATTCCGACAAGTATCAAAGTCGTTGTGTTTCAGTCATGTTGAATTTCAGTGAAGTTCCTTACTTATCTTATTGGTTATTGTTGTTATATGGTTGGGGAATACTGAAAAAAGAAGAATTGGAATATACATTCATTGAATGATTGGGGATTAGGTGCAAAAATATTTTCACATTATATAAAAATTGTATACACTCCCGTGGCAAAAGTCACCGACCACGCCCTATATTTGCAATTAAATGAGAATATTGGCATAACGAGCAATGCAATCACCGCAAAATTAATATTGAATTTAGCGCACCTTCTAGATAGTATACAGTATATACAAAAAATTACAATATGTTAGGTAGTAATTTACGAATTTACCCAGAGCCGACTTTTATCCTACGAAAAAGGTAAATTTAAGTTTATGCGACACGGATATTTAAAAAATCAATCCACATATAAATTTAAAAATGCAAAAAAAGCGCTATCGTATTTATAAAATATCTTGCTTCTTCGTTGAGAAATCGAATTTTGAATCTAGGGTACTATTCCAATTGAATGCAAATATTGACATAATGAGCAATGCAATTACCGTGAAACTAATACTGAAGTTAGCGCATCTAGTGTAAAACATGTTTACAAAAAATTGTAGTGTGTCAGCTAGTAATATGATAAAATTTATATATAACCAACGATTTGTGTTACCGAAAAAGTTAAAATCAAGCCAAACGACCTAAAATTTAAAATCGTTTAAAAACAAATTCCACATGATAAATATACACACATTTACATTTATTTGAAAGCACAAACAAACTGCTATCGAATGCAAAAAAGTTTAACCGGATAGCTCGCTTTGTTATTGAGAAACCAAATTTATTATTAAAATTTAACAAAAAAAAACTTTACAGAGTGTTTTTCAACATTTAAATGTTTGTTGCATAACCTTTAGCCTCTAAAACTACCTTTACCCTACTATTCATACTAAGAATGAAATTTTGGTATACACCTTCTGGGATTTCTTTCCATTTTTTTTGAAGCAATCTGAACAACTCTGCTTCACTTTTTGGTGGTGGTTTTTGTTTTCTAAAATGACGTTCGAGTTTGTCCCACAAGTACTCAATAGGATTGAGGTCTGGGCTTTGTCCAGGCCATTTTATCAAGTTTATTTCTGAATTTTCAAAAAATTTCATAGTGAGCTTGCTTTTGTGGATTGAAGCTAATTACTTATGACGTAATTATTTAAAATTCTAACCCTAGCGGTGATATCTCTATTAATAGTATAATAATAAGTATTGCATTATAAAAAAATTAATTGATGTAAGTAGATACATCGACTTTATCATATTTCAATAAAAAAAAAAACAAACAAAAAAAAAAAAAAAACAAAGTAAAATCAAAAGAAAATACATTATTTTTTTCATTGGAACAACGTCATCTGGATTTGCTAATATTATTTTATCTTTGAACCTTGAAGTCAGACGACGTGCCCCCTTAGAGAACCGTTTAGCCACCAAAATCGCAACAGTGCCTGGTGGGTATTCTTTAAGTAAACCCAGTAGTTGTTGGACGACTTTCGGTTCTAAAAAAATGTTAAACTTAAATACAAGCTTTTAATATATTCTCAGATGTTGATTCATAATTATCAATTGGCCGTTTGTGTTTTTTACATTGAATCACAAACTTGGACTCTTTCATAAAGTACAGTTATATCTACTCCTCCATCTCCACCGTCTCTCGGATCTGAGTTAATAAAAAATAAATATATGATAATGAGTAACTGTATCATCATGGTCAATAACCAGATCTTCAACACGTTTCGCTCGTATTTTGTTCCCACTTTTGTAATATTCGACATCTTAGGAATAAAAGTGTAAAGATTTCTTTTTTGCGTTCTTTATTCTTTTGGTAGTTCTCTCGGTAGATTTGTTGCCGGGATTTGGGTGGGATTTTATTCTTTCGCTTTCACTCGAAAAGAAGTTGAGCTTCTTTGTTCTGTGCGACACATACGTTCTTTCTAGGTCCGATTCATTTGACTCGGAGTTGTTTGGAGCTTCCAAGTGTACAGTACTATTCACCATTAATGTTAATAATAATAGCTTAGAGAATTGAGCCCCATATAATTAATAATACTTACAAATGCTTCATAATATTCTGTGCAATATCGTGCCCTTCATGAAAAAAGGGTCAAATCGTCCCATAATAAAGGACTTTCGCACTTGGGTGGGATTTGGACACGATCACGTACGTCATCGGTAAATTGGAAACAAAAATCCTTGAACTCGGGTGTTGGAATCCAGCTTTGTTTTTCTAGTACTCGATCAAGCCATGATCGTTGTTTTTGATCCAATGTCGATTGTAGTCGGTTTTTCACATTAGCATCCGTCAAATCAATTATTCCGTTTAAAAAATTCGACTCCATTATTGTTTTGCCTGATTCAAGATTCTTGGATCGGAATTGATGTAGAACTTCAAGAAAGATATTCCGAATTCACATCCAAATGCTTCACTTCCTGGAATATCGGATAGCAATTAGAGTATTTTTTTATGCACAAACAAAGCAAAATCTAAATTACCTCATGTAATTCGTAATCTGAAGTAGAATAGAGATCTTCTTCATACAAATTTGGGGATTCTCTATTATTATCTATGGTTGCTAATCCAAAGTCGATAATAAATACGCTCTTCCCGTCGTTGCTAAGTATGATATTTTCTTTTCGGATATCATTATGGAGAACGTTGTGTCTGTGTTTTGCCATCGCATTCTCTAAAGTTGAGTATATTTATGTAAAATTTGCATCAAACGATTGCTTGTTGCTCATCATAGTCTGTTCCAGATCTCTTCCATATTATAGCTTTAAAGCAGTTCGCCATGTTGTATTCCCATATCTGAACATATAATATCTGTCTTTCTGGGTTTCTCGTAATTGTTCTCTATGCCAAGCCATAATATATATATACAGTTGCCACTTTTGTACTTCTGGTCGCACTAAAAAAAATATTCTTGATTAAATCTAGCTCTAAAAACAAAGAGCTGCAGTAAATCAGCAGAGCCATAACAAGAGCTAGAAGAGTCATCAGAGAAGCAGCTATAAGGAATGCCCTCTTAGTCATAAGCCAAATACAGTCTACCTCAACATTAATTATCATCTAACGCTTTTTTTTTTTTTTTGTGCAATATAGCACCAGTAACAACTTGTGAGTCACCAGTTGCATGCTCTAGCCACAATACTAATGCTTCTTCATTCTGGGGTAGCGAGGAGGACGTTGGCGCTTAGCTCTAGCCTCAAAAGAATGTTTAACCATTTTTCTTTATTATGCAGGATTTGACTAACTTGAGCTGTGCTAATACCGAATTATTTAGCAAGCACGTAGTTTTTTGTTGAAAGTAGACTGTTAGCTTTCTTTTCACAAAATCACTTTTTTTGTGATGCAGTTATAGATCGCCTCTTAGAATGGTCCTTCATAATAGTAGTATTGGACGGTACTTAAGAACACAACTAGCAATTTGATTGGTTGTATATCATTGATTTGTTTTACTTATGCAAAATCCGAAAAAAGTTTACTATACTTACTGTAAAACGAGGTTTTATAGTAAATTTACTATAACGAGGTTTGGGACCAGGAAAATCATTCAATCACAATCAAATTGGGGTTCTTTTGGATTTCAAGTATCTCTGCCTTCACTCGTTCTTGGACAATAGAAGTACAATAAGCCGAATTTACTATATCGAAGGTTTACTATAACGAGGTTCACTGTGTACTTCTTTTTTCCTCGTAAGAACCCCATATCTTTTAACGATAGTAATTCGTTCCTAATAAATCGCATCTAGACGGTACAGAAAAATAGAAAACATCATTATTTTTGGTGGCCTAATCATCTTAAAAACATCATTATAAGTATAATGAAAAAGATTCTCGCTGATAATATGTCGCTTATTCAATCGCATTATAGTTATTAATGTCGAGACATCGTATTAATTTTTTATTCTCTATTATTCAAAGATCAAAGTAGTATAAAATTACCTGACTAATATTTTGTAACGACTTAAGATAATTTTTACGCTCTCATCAATAACTTCACTTGGATTTTCATGAGGCAGTCGAAATCTAACAATGCCATTGTTGAGTAATTACATTAGATGTGGTGATTCTATCTAGTGAACTCTTTTTTAAGAAATTGCATAATGAGAATGTTGAGCTAGACATGTTTGCGTAGTTAATTGGTGATATAAATATTATAACTTTGTTATATCGCAAGTAAAAAGAAGCGACGAATAAGCATAACATATATACTGGCCTTTTAACCCGTTTTTTCTGGACTCGTTTCGGTATGGAAATAATAGAACAAAAAGTAAGAAGTTAAATAACCGCAAGCTTGCATGGGAGGTGAACTAGTACTTGATCAGAGCACTAGAAGTAGTAAGATCCAAAGAGAAGACGATAACTACTCCTGTTCTTTGGGCTCGCAAACATTAACTAACATCATCATTATCGTCATCGTTATTTTCTTTAGTTTTACCAAAGGTTCCGCTAAAGTCACTGCTATCACGAATTATTTCTCTGTTCGCGCTATTCAAAGAAAGATTTTTGCCACTAAAATTGTCATTTTTTATTTATTTTCTTTTTCAATCCAAGCTTTGATTTTGTCTAATGAGGTTGTTTGCGGGCTTCTTTGGTGACGATAATTGTGGTCGAACTGAGGCCCGTTTCTTTAGATATTTACATTATGTATAAAATAAATTATTACCAATCACGAAGAGGCAAGCATCGAGTCTTTGACTCAACTATAAAATTATTTGCATATAGAAATATATTGGACAGACGTATTGTCAATAATTAATTATTGGGTTTTCATATATAACTGAATGGCTCAGTGATACGTACGTACCACAGCAAAACAATGAGACTCTGCATGCAACATCTTCAGCAAACTCTTTGTCACGGAAACTTAAATAAGAAGCATTTAAAACGACGGCGGTCGTCTGCATCTGCCGGCTAGTCGACCATTATTCCCAAATTACGCTGACGGAAGATCGCGTAGTAAACACCACAAGAAGAAATACAAAGTTTTCATTTTATGGCCTCTTCCTATAATAACTCGTTCTACCATCTTCCTTTCCATTCTAATAACTGGACCGGGTTTATTTCGTTGAAATGTTCGACACCATCGTTCATCGATTGGAGATAGTAAACTTACTATTGTCTCCGTTCCTGTTTTCCTTGCAAATGTCAAATTATTGGCAGCATCTAGTTTACTGACTTTGGGCCTATTCGAGGAATCATTGACTCCAATGCTTGGAGGATCGAAAAAGCTTTTGGGCACAATGACTAGCTTAGTGCTTGGTGTTTGTATACTGAGACAGGCACTTGGTTTATTTTCTCATTGTCGACTGGTTGGTCAATACCAAGTTTGTTTCGATACACGAGTGCAATCAAGGTACGTTGACCAGTTAATAAGAAAGGAGTATGCGCGACGTCATCGGTAAAATGGATCATTGGCTTATAGTTAACTATCGACGATAAATATATCCTTTACTATGGTGATAAAAGGCACACGAAAATAATGCTTCGAAAAATAACGCTCCAGCTTTTCATGTGCATACTCAATTATACTCAGAAGAACATTCTATAGTGGTCAGTCGCCAGTCTTCTCACTGGTTTCATCGGCGCAATAGCCATTCACACAACACAGACAAGGACACCAAAAGATGACACTAACCATTGAATAAAACTTGTATAAACTGTAAATAACCCGCAAATTCAAAAAAGAGTTTGAGTCTCTAAATTATAAGAAATGGTCGGCGTTAACATTGTAAATTGACTTCATTTGTATCAACATATAACTGCATACCTGCGGCTGAATCCAAATCATAGCTATTTCTTGGTTTAGGTAATTCTCCTGTGGGTAAGAGCTTACTAGAGTATTTACTTTCCTTTTCGAAACACGATAAAGGTTTTACATCATTATGATAAACGGCATTCCACGTGTTGTCATCAGAATTATCCTTGTCAATCTCTTCAATAAGCTTGTAAATATAAAACCTAAGTGTCCCTGCATCTGGGCGCTTATCAGGATCAGCATCACAACACCGCTCGGCAAGTTTCTTGTATTCCTCTGGTGCCGAATCAGGCATCAATGGTCGTAGTCCACCCATAATATCGCATACTAAATCCCTATCAAACTCTCTATCTCGAAAAGGTGGTTCACTGGTGGCAATTAAATACATAATAATACCAAAAGAATATATGTCTGATTTCTGTATAAATTTGCAAGTATGGAAGACTTCTGGTGCAATAAAGGGCAGAACGCCTCGAATGGTTGACTTTGACTCACGCGAATTCTCCGATCGAGAAAGACCAAGATCGCAAATAAATGAATTTATCTTATACGTATTGTCATGCAAAACTATGTTTCCGCCATGAAGATCACAATGCACTAATCCCACTTTATGAATAATATTCAGATATAATGCAATATCATTCAATTGGCGTAATTTCATCCTCCATGTCAATTTGTTAATATTTTGATCCAAATAAGACAAAAGACTACCATTGTTAGCATATTGCA